GTGCATGGTGGTCATTTTCTCCCCTGGTTGGTAGATCTGTGCATTTCCCTTGTTTGGGGAGAACGAGTTAGACTTGGTACCAATTCGGGTTGCCCAAACACACGCACACACGTGCGCCATAACCCTTCCGATCCAGAAAGGATCGGGAAACATCCGCGGTGATGGAGGGTGGCAGCACCGGATCAGGCGGTGGACGGGATCAGAGGGGGTGATTGTAGAAATCTACCTGGGAAGCCGGGCACAGCAGGGTCTGCTAAGGACTGCACGGGCGAAAGAGTGCCTGGAGGGATGTCTCCCAAAGAGGAGGGCGAGGGGATGCCGCTGCCTCCGAAACTGGCTAAAAATCGGTCGCAGTCTGCCCTATGTGCGAGTCGTGACATATGCAGTCTATATAAATGTAGATGTATCGATATATAGCTATAGATACAGATGTATAGGTAGATACAGATCTATAAAATAATATATATATGTATGTATCTCTATCTATCTATATAGATATATATCTATCTATATCTCTCTATCTATATAGATAGATGTATAGATCTATCTATATATATAGATAGATGTATAGTTGTATACGTCTAGCTATATGTATAGACAGAGGTATAAATGTGTACATGTGATTTTAGATGTCGGTGCGGTGGCTTTGAACTGAGCCCTTTCGGGGGACTGAGGCAGCGAGAGGAGCTCAGCAAATCCTCCTTGCAACACGCTTGGTTTAACTATTTTACACAAGTTTGCCCAGGTCCCTGGAGATTCTTCAGTTGAAGAAGATTGAAATTAGAGTCAAAAGCTGGAAGGGGGTGGTGGGGGTGGAGATGAGTGTGGAAGAGTGTGATGAATCTCTTGTAAATGGTCACATGTATGCTGATGGTGGAGAAGGAAATAAAAATATACATAGGTGGGGCTGATAGAGAAAAATGCCGGTGTTCAGAGCCGGAGCAATAAGACGCTCCGAGTCGACCCAGGAAGGCTCTGGGGGAAGACTAGGGAATAGACTTCTTCGACTTCTTTCCTTTCCTCTCCTCTTCTTCCCCTTGCTGGTAAATCGCTGCTAACGTGTGCCTTTTTCTTCTGTCTATAACTAGGATGTAATCAGGCGCCCCATGTCTCCCTCTAAAAGCATTTAATAAATGTCTATTAAAGCGCTACAAATGTAAGATAAATTTAGTGGCGCTGCTGTCTCCCTGTATCCAAACGGTAATGATGGATTTATCAACAGAGATTCGCCTTCAGCGCAGCGAGGGAGATTTACTCAACAAATAAGCCGGGAAAGCACCCACCCAAACACAAATCCTTCCGAGGGAACCTGCTTTCTTTCGCCGCGCCAGGTCCTTCCTTCCCCGCCGCATCGGGGCATCCTCCGCTGGAGCCGAGGGAGTCTCCGAGGCTGCGAT